TGGGACGGAAACCTAGTCGATATTCGATGGCGCGCGTGAGACCCTCATGTGCCCATTTTCGGTGTGCAATAAACGACTACCCCCCTGTCGTGTCGTTCTCGGTACAATTGGAGCTGGTTTTCGGATGACCATGTAGAGCCCCTGTCTAGATCGCTCTGCAGTTCCGTGTGATCGCCCACTGTCTTGATCTCCTACCAAATTTTAACGTCGTCTGCAAATAGTAAGAAGTTCGACCGGAGTACACTAGCAAGTTCGTTGATGAATTCTAGGATTAAAGCTTGCCCTAGTTCCGATTCTTGAAGCACAATTCACTGGATTTCAGTTGGTTCGGCGATGGAGCTGTGAACTCTCACATACAACTGCCGATGAATATGCAAGTTGCTTATCCATCTTCCCTGGCTTCAAAGCTTGTGAAGGAGAATGCGATGACCGAGGTGATCGAACACTCTACAGAAGTCCAAGGCGACAATGACAACTCCTACTACAGCGTCCACTTATTCTGCCTAGGTTGCTCGGGTTATAAGCAAGTTTGTAGTACAAGACGGATTTCAGCGGAATCCGTGGTGCTGTGACATCATGATCTTGCTTCTTTCAAGGTATCCGAAGAGTGCCTCTGCGATAATACCTTCCATTACTTTGGGTAACTCCGGGAGGAGAGTGATTGGACGGTATTTCGATGGCTCCACACGATTCCCGCTCACAAAATTAGGAGTGACTATTCCTTGTTTCCATGTTGTGGGAACTTGCATTATGTCAAAACACCGTTGAAATCAACGAGCTGATTGTCCGGCGATTTTCATAGCGGCTGTCCTCGATATCTTCGGTCTGGTGTCACCTACACCAGTACAGCTGTGTACGCACAGTCACAATCGTCTTTGCATCACATCTGTTGCGGTGAACGATACGTAAGGCGGTATTTTCTAGCAAGCAGGGGTGGTAATCGCGATGGCAGAGAAGTGAGCCAAGGTCGGGATGTCACCTCAAATGTTGCATCCACAGTGCCAGTAGTTCAGTTGTTCCCTAATGTCCATAGTGAGGATAATGGGGGATCGAGTCGCACTTGCCAATCTGATCCGCACATCGACACTGGTCAGACTAGGAAGTTCTACCTACCCCATTATATGCCGCAGCCATCAGACTTGGAAATTTCCACGCCACATGATCATCTGTTGGGTCTCTGCTCGTATACCCCTTCTATTTATCCCCGCATTATGCTAGCCGATCTGGTTATCCGTGTGTAGTGCATGCACAGCCATGACCGCGATTCTTGATAGTTTCCGATATTCAAATTCCTTCGTCGGTGATCGGTAGATGCACCTAATGCTTTTTGAAATCTGTGTGCATAGATTTCGCACATGTTAACCTGTGTATGTACGTGCACAGTCCTTACAAAATATTCTATAGACGCAGTTTGTTGTCTTTTCCTTGAGAAGTGAATCTTTCAAATGCACCCGTACTGCAAGTAATGTTTGGCCACGCTAGTAGATTACCCTTATAGTCTCCTTGTTCAGTAACCATCGAATCGCCTCTGAAATTCTTTAATTGTGTGGAATTCCTACCGTCCCCATCCACTCCCTTATTGGTCCTGATTGTTGATCTAATAGCTTCTGTAACTGACGTCTCTAACACATCGCCTCTTTCCGGGCAACTGTTCTGTCTTCCTTCATAATACACAAGACTTGTGTCTTTAAAAACAGCGCTGAACCTTTCCCAGCGTAAACAGGTTTTAGATAACCTGAAGTATATTGAAATACCCCATGTGTTTGTTGGCTTATCTAATATTGTCCTTTCACAATAACCATTTCTGCGAGAGAACTCGTATCATACCATTAAAAACTCCAGCACGGTGGCAAAATGTATATTATCCTCAAAGCAGTTTAGGCGATTAAGCAACCCTTCCCTCTTATCCCGTTTTAGGATCACAACGGTGTGAGTAATAGGGGGTTTTCTCTTGTTTCTGCGAGTATCCGTCGCAGCTAGACTAGACCAGACTGACAGCACGCATCTAGAAAAGCCTTAGACTGCTGTTGGTTCCTACTGGAACTCGTCAGTAGCGCGCACCCGCCGAATCCTACAAGGTTCGAACCCATAACCTGATTCATGCCAGCCAATGACTTATGTCGCTGAGCCATAGACGGCGAGCCACCAGGACTGATATCTAACTACCATGTAGCGTGACGCATGCTCTACTGTCATGTATGCTATGACCGTGCAGATGACAGGGCTTGCCCACAGAGCAACGACTTCCTTTGCAAGCCGCCACCAAACGACGTGGCATGTAAGTTGTAGACGACTATTGCTTATTTGTAAGTAGCGGGGGGTTTATGTGGCCTTGTGTAGAATCATCGCAGTTAGACACAGGCAGGCAGCCACCACACATCTAGGAATGCGCTAGACGGCCAGTTCGTCCTATTGGGACACGTCAGTAGCGCGCACCTGCCGAATCCTGCCGGATTCGAACCCAAGACCTTACACATGGGAGCCAATGACTTATGCCGCTGAGCCATAGGCGGCGGACCACCAGGAGTGATATCTAACTACCATGTAGCGCGACTCATGTTCTATTGTCATGTATGCTATGACCATACAGCGGACAGGGCTGGCACCCAGAGCTGCGACTTTCATTTCAAGCCGCCTCTAATAGAGGAAGCATGTAAGCTGCTAGGGCGATTGCTGTATGTTTTTGAGTAGCTTTGGAAATTGCATTGGAATTTTTGAGAATATTTGTCACAGCTAGACGCAGCCAAACTGTCACCAACCGGCAAGACTGGGCAGGTGCGTGAACCTGACGAGTACCAATAGGACGAAACGGCCATCTAGTGCTTTTCTGGATGTGTGGTGGCAATATGGCTGCGTCTATCTGCGACGAATATTCTCAAGAGATCACAAAGGTCTCGTAAACGTAGCTTCACCAGACTTTCAGTGAGATACAGCTGTTTGTTAACGCCTACTTCCCGATATCTGTCACACAGAAGCTTGCCAATAGATGGTATATTGGCGAGCCCATGTTCAGACCTCTTCCTGGGTGCACAGCTTTGTCTGTATAATGGAGCATGACATGTTATGGTACGCTGTCATACCTGCGGCTAACTGATCACTTGTATATTTGTTTCCGTCATCCAGAGTGATGTCTTCACCTAGACAAAATTTTGCTATTCCTAGCGCCTCTGCTTTCGGCGTATCGGTAAAAAGTGGGTTTATGTCGGTTTACCATCACCTCATCAAGCTCAGTGGTGAGTCCTGCTACCTTTTTAAGCGAAGTTGTAGAATTTATCCAAGAAGCTCTCGTTCGCTACGTGAGTGATTGCAATAGGTCGGCCAAATGTTTATTGAGTTTATGAGTCGGAATGCCTACACCGTCGACTATAGGCGTTAGAAAATGTTGGATTTACGTATTTTTAGTAAACCATTACCTCTTTGGGGGACAGTTGATTTTGGGTGTAGACTATATCATTTACCAACTCCTGAATTGTCCTTCATTGTTCTTAAATAGCTATCAACCTCTGTCTTATTCATTGCTGTCGTCACGGCTTTACCGTCAATTGCTTTACATGGATCTACCTTCAAATGCTATTTTCCCGATAATCTGGCTTATTCATTACGACCACTGCATTTCTATTATCGTTCTTTTGGAACAAAACACTGAGAACTTTCTTCAGGGACCTCAACACAGTACGTTCAATTGGTGCAAGATACAGCTTCCGAGGTGGTTCAAAGTTATTGCTACTCATTTAATGTGCACAAGTATTCTTAGACCATGGCATTATGCTCGCCAGCATTCAGACCCTTTGTATTGGTAATCTTCTCCTGAGGTGGATCAGAAGCTTTCTCCAACACCGGTGCTTGGAAGTAAGAGTGCGCGAATCCCCGGAAGGTCCCATCCAAGTTGAACGCGGAGTACGAAAAGGATCCATAAGGAGACTACGGTTGTTTTTGACGTATATCAACGATATCATGCACCTTGTAAGCTCAACTCGCCTCCCTTGAACCAAGAACATCAAGATGTGGAAGGTGATCAATACACCTGATGACAATACAGTACTTAAAGAAAACTAATTCTACCGTCTGTTATTCGAACCTAAACGTTCTGCTGACTCACTCGTGTGTCCAAGTACACTTGGAAACTGACCCCGTTCTGATCATGTTCTCCGTATGTTCCTGAATAGACTTATTGTATGTGCCTTGATGGGCCAAGGTGCGAGGTAGCCTGCAGGCTACGTGGTATAAATGCGTGCAGAAATGAGCCGCATACAATTGTCCAGCTAGTGGGTTTCGACCTCGGGGATGGGGGCCTCACGGTGCGTTCATCCGTGCTTGTATGCTCTATAAGACGTGGCTCATACGCTCATCCAATGACACTCCGACATTTACCCCTTGATTGGTAACACTGCTACTTGATCAACTTCGCCTAATTGCTATTCCCTCTTTCATATATACTTGGCTTCGTAGTCCAATCCAGTCAGACAGTGGTACTGCTTTCTGCTACAGCGATGCTGGCTGCAACCAAGCTCATTTCATTAAGTAACTCGAATCACAGTTGTCTGATGGAACTGGGCTGCAACTGCGTTGAACATACCGAAAGATATAACGAAGCTAGCTGGAAAAAATGATTATACAACCTGTGCTTCTGCCTCATCATCCTGTGCGCTAACTAGTTTGAGACATTCGGCTACGAGGACTGTCGCGGGCGGGTGATCTCTAAGCTCCTATCTTGGCATTGCTACGTATTGGCAAGCGCTGTTAACGTTGGTACCAGGTAGCAACACATTCCGTTGTTTACAGGGCTCTGCCTATCACAAGTAACAAATGTTTCCGATTAACGATAAAGACTAATTGCATTTCTTTAATCAAATGATAACGTCACTACTTTGGATAGTGATTATCTTAGGTTGGTCCATATTTGCGAATTTTATGGTCAGTGTCTAGGAATTCTCCCAATATATTACATCGCGTTTCAGATTGATTGTATGGCCTGGTTGTATACTAGCCAGAAGTCTTAGTTAATTGACAAAAGTCGCTTATTATGCACGATTTATTGCAATTATGGGAGCAAATGAAATGAAATACAGCTGGGGGGGTTGATGCACACAAAATGCGTAGAAACTAAGAAGAAAACTGCTCATCGCGGGAAGCATCTACTACTTATCGCACAACCGATGAATACGTTTGATGGTACGGAGACCATAGTAAACAACACTATTGCCAGCGATTTCTCTCCTGTAGACCTCGCACAATAAACACGCATAGTGAGTGAGATGACGAGGTTGGGAGTATGTCCGCAGTCCATGTGTTTACGTCTCGAATTCTGCAAGAGAATGGTAGGGGATGGTGGAGACGAAAATGGTGATTTAGGTTCGTGTTTACATTGGATTTTATCCCTTTGAGCATCCCAGGGAAAGACGAAACAGATATTGACACCGAAAGCGGGTAACGCTTTGAGGAAACAGAATGGAGGGAATAGAGGGAGCGAATCGGAACGCCAAAAGTTGCGCGCAAGTGCACGAACAGAGTAGGCTGCGGCAGGTATGTGCGAATGAATGAGAACAGTTACTGAGCAGCGGCTGCGCCTTCTTCCTCCTTCGGTTTGAGTTGATCTCGCCATCCAGCTTTCTGCAAGACGGTGAAGACAAATCGCATTGATTCTTGTTTATGGGGAAAATGCGTTACCACAGTGAAAAACATAAGGAGGGACTGCTCACTGCTCTACAATTTCGGCGTCTTGACTTTGTTTAGTACAGACTGATCACTTATACGTCCGACCATGACAGAGACCAACTAGGTTGTCCCCAAGATTTTACTGAGGATGATGTGTACGGTGCCCGATTAGAACAGTTGTTGATGCGGTTCAACTCACATTAGCCAATCGCCAAGAAACTCTACAAGTAGTCTCCGTCACTTCATACTACAATGGACTGTACCTAGATTATAGCCAGTTGTTCTTAACATTTTCACTTTTGGAAACACTACTCTTTTACTAGGTGGGGAACACTCTTTAGCGACAAAGTAAACAGCGTTGTTGATAATTCGTCATATACCAGACTTCTCTCTCCATTATCGTATTACCATATTCAGAAAGTAAGAAAGTGCGTGATTAGGCTTCACCAATCAGAGTACCTCGAGGATGCACAAACTTAGTAAGGTTGTGATGCCAATGCGCATGTTTTCTGCTGCGCAGTGCTTACAGATTTGTCCCCACTCTGTGTACTGCATTCGCTGAAGCTGACACTAATCAGAAGTACAGAACATCGGGTTCAGGTTTGAGGATGTACCATCCGTTGCACGGCTTCAACTCAGCTTCGACTGACTGCACACATGAATACTGACTTCCAGTAAACTTTCATAGTCCGTTTCAAACTTTTCCCTGTTTAGCATTTGTGATAAGGATATTGCTTTTGCATGCACGGCACCAAAGTCGCGGGATATACGTGCCGGTATTTTAACCGCACCGTAAGTTCCGGGTCTTTATCTCAGCCTGTTTGATGATAAAGTACACCAATCAGCCTTAAGCAGCGCCCGCCTCTCCAGTACTCACGTTTAAGCGTATGAGCCACAAGCCTTGACAGCAATAACAGATTTGTCCAGTGCGTTTCAGAAGCAGGGGAACAGCGATCGATAGTTAGTCGAATTTGTGCTTCCGTTGAACCTGCCACCTTGTGTATGTGTGTGACTTGATGTACCAGGTTTGTAAATCACGTGCATTAGGATTAGAAAACAGCCAACACTTAGTGAAAGACAACTCCTCTACGCCATCGACCCATCCGATTACGGCCATTCCGTCTGAATCTTACTAAGGCATTAAACCATGTGAAAGAATTCACTTACCCCTCCGGATTCTTCCTTTTCTTCCAAAGCATATTTACTATGACCAGTAGATTTCAACTGGTTTCTGAATGATGAGAGACTGTGGCCGGTTCCTTCCTTCTTCTCAAACCTTGCCATGTGGCTCTCGGTCTTGGACACTTTCTTGAGGACTGGTTTGACGCTGTATGGACACAGAAGGAGGAGGAGTATACACGTCATTGAATTCGGTTTATGACTCTGAGCACATGCGATATATTCAACCTTCAATCTCATGCTTTTGACCATTAAATGAAGTCGCTTGGATGTCCAAAAGACTCCGAAATGACTATGACGCGGAGTAAAGTGTTTAATGCGAAAATACCCGTTTTATCAATGTTATATGTCATCTCCATGCTAAATTGACTTGTAATGAACCATTAGGACAGCTTGTACACTGATCGATCGTTCTGCACAAGGTCACTTTCAAGTCCTGCCTGATGGTGAGATGGAATGACCTCTCGAAACTATTCTGGGAAACCGCAAAACTGAATGTTAACAATAGGGCTTTCTACATTTCGGAAATAAAATCTCGTTACTTACAACTTGCCCTTGTTATCGTTGGCCTTCACTGTCATCTCGATTATCTGTGGAAATAGAAGGGTATAATACCATTTTAGGTGTAATGTCAACTTATGATTAATATGAGGTTCGGCATCAAAAATAAAAGTAATACAATTGATGTTTATTGCAAGCGACGCGCAGAGCAGAGCGAATCCGAGCCCACGAGAGTGAATCCGTTGCCACATTGCTAATTTCCGTACAATCACTTATACACATGAGTTGTCGTGTGTCTTCCGCCGTCAGGCAACATAAAATGATATATCTGTGGCACGCATTGTGCTTAAGTGCAGAGTCGACAGTTGACTTTCTGCCGCCAGGGTATACTATCCTATATTCGGGTTCGTTTGAACAGAGTTTGCACACATTTGCACCTGTGGATTGTAGCCAGATTGTCACGATACTACAGGATTAGATCCATAGCAGTGGCTCGCAGTAGGCCAGCGTTTCCAGCTACGTAGCAATGCGATTGTTTAAGGAGCATCTGAGATAGTATGTTGCCATGCTGCTTCTGTTTTACGTCAACTAGTTGTTATTACGAATGGCGCTCTTTAGCTGCTGTGTTTTCGCAGCATGCACGTTACGGGGAGATCCAAAGTGTTACCCACAAAGTATCCATGGTTTAGGCCTTGCTACCGTGAACAGCAGATGTTCCAGAGACCACCGCTCACCACCTCTGCCATTGTTGGTGCGCCTGTCACTTGTTTCCAGGCCAGATTGCTGAAAACGATGGGTTACCAAGCATCCCTTCACATATATATCCATTTTTGAGCACGATTTTATTCCCGATATTAGACAAATTATGTTGCTCAATCAGAGTCATCGCTTTCAAGCCTCCTTCCGTTGCCATCCCTTCCTGTATTGCAACTTACAGCTCTGAAAATTCCTCTGGAGTCTCTTATTTGGCGACTAGGTTAGCAATGATTGGGAATACTTGTGGCTTTTCAGCTGTTTTTTTCAATTTGTTCGAAATATACATTAATCTGATTTATTTAGCGATCTGCGTAGGTTATCATTGAGTACTATTTGTTCGCTAATTGTGATCATGATCTCTGAAAGGCATGTGAGTATCCAACCAACAGCCGCAACAAGCAGAATGCGTCAACTTGTCTCTTACGGTTATTAACAATAGTATATGACGACACAGAGTCAGTGCACGAGTAAAACGTCAGTATTATTTTAGTGTGCGTTACAACACATATTTTATCTCCGGTGGTTGATAGATCATACATCCGTTGTAGGGTGCATAACAGCACACAGCGGGGTTGGCACAATGGAACATCATTCCAATTGCTGACCTTTCATGACGGAATGAATGTTATTGGTCAATTACATCGCGTAACATTGCAAGTGCCACTTTGTTCAAACGTCGTCTCCCATGAAAAGTTAGTAAAGAGACATAGAAAAGAAAGTGAAGCAACTCGCCTCAAAGTCTTGCCGTCGAAGCTTTTCCTCCCAGTCGTATTTCTCACCTTCAAGTTGTCTGAGTTGTTCATGTAGTTTGGCCACTTTTGCTCTCAAATCACCTTGCAGAATAAGGAAAAACAATAATTGGAGTTGAATCCGATACATACCAACATGAGCAAACCAAGATGCCCATTGTATCGTCCCCTAACTTAATGGTGCTGAGGTCGTTTGTTTTAACTTTTTCTGTAAGTAAAGCAAAATATACCCACCGTCAGATAATCTCCATTCGAAAAGACCTGTAACCTCTGCTCATGACTTTATACAGTAAAACTGTTATCGTCTCTTTTGCCTGACCTGGGATCAAACGACGTTCTGTGATTTCAGGAGTACATTGCTGTTACTCAACCCTAACGTCCTTATCCGTAAACAAATTCGTGTTGCTTGGGCTAACCTCGCATAGGTAGGCCAGTTTGACGTTTAAAGCTCCAGTCTGAACATCTTAAACATTTAAAGAATCCAATACCTACAATCAAAATCGTACTTTGCTAAGTACTCATGAACCGTTGAGCATGGCTAAACTCAAGACCGACAAGAATGACCCCATCGTAAATTAAGTTAATGTATAATACAAGCTCTCAGGCAAAGCGTGTTTAAGAAGGCAACTGTGTAACCGGTTACTTCTAATCCAATCCCTATCACTTGTCAACTTGCTTTCTAGCTACTGTGTTGTCTGGATAACCATTAAGTTAGGCAGGAGAGGAAAGTAGCAATAGACCAAGCATATTATACTATGGGCGTCATATGAATAAGCATTTGTTCAATAGCATGGGGGTCATCGCTTCGTCCGAAATGACGTACAATCCAACATTTATCCAATGAAGTGGAAAAATCGTTTTTCGTTAGGCGCCATTAACTCTATGGTTGTTCAGTGGTCAGGATTGTATATTCCACCCGGGACCTGTAGCTGTCTATTAAAGACAACGCAACTAATCCGTTTCAACCTTCTCAAAAGCATCGATTATATGCTACTAATGTGCATAAATGTCACCTAGAAACATAGTCGATTTCCCAAACTGACATGGTCTTTACTTCCACAATCCCCAGAGTAATCAGATTAAAATTCGACCACAACGTACCTTCACTGAGTCCTTCCAATGACAATGTGCCAATTTTACTGCGAACATATTCATCTCGTTTCTCCTGCTCCTTCTTACGTTCAGCTTTCATGATCTCAGCCGCTTTTTGCATAATTAATTGCTTTCAACGGAAAGGAAAGATGTAGGATCCACATAGATCAGTTTCATTTTGAAGAAGAGATTTAAGAGACCCCATGGGTCTAAGTTAGAGGTTAATCGGAAAGAAACAATGCGACAAAACATACCTAATTAGCTCGTTCAATTTCTATGTGTTTGTGCGTTCGTCTTGGATGGTATTGAGATTGCAAAAGTTACAACAACTATCCAGATGACATCACCAATGTCTTATTATGGGTTACTAGTGTGTAGTGACGTCGCCTCAGTTAGCAACACTCGTGTTGTCGATTAGATGAAATAACGTTCATGCAGTTATTTGTTGAGCGCCTCATAAGTACGAACTCCGAATTTGGTGACGTAACGTGGGAAATTTTCTGAGGTTCACGCCCATGGAGATGCTCAACTTCCGATATCTGCATGGACACGAATAGCATACAAGTGCTCTTATGGTTGCCGAGAATATAAAGTATAGGTCTCGTAGGTAACCAAATGTTAGCGCGAAGTAAAATACGGATGGGCCAAGACAATTCAACTCATTGTGTGTGACAGATGAGCAGATCGGTACCTACATCCGTCGCAAAATAAAAGCCAGTCACAGGCAAGGCGAGTATCAAATTAGTTGGGCAAAGTAACAAATTCTGTGTTTGCATTCAACCTTTTGAAGCATGAAAGAAAACAGTCTGGTGTATAAAATGGCGGTTATATGCCTGCTTTTAGGGAGCAGAAGGTTTACAGGGGTAAGTGCGTTTTTATGCCTGCTTTGGCTTAAAAAGCAGTCGTCATCTTGCCAACCCAGGAATTTAGGGGAGAAACTCTCCAGCAATTTTAACGAAAAGCTGACACCCACTCAGTGTGTGGAATGCCAGTTGTGCAAAAGTTCCCCATCTGATGCACCTCTGTATTGGGCACATGCTTGAAATGCCACATGGTAAAACTGCTACCGGTGAACCATCTGTGAGCTACTAAGGCTTCATTCTCGGTTGTTCGATATTTGGCATGCTAGGACTTTTGTATTAATATTTCCAATGCCTATTCATGTAATGCGAAAAGTGCATAGAACACTAACCTTAAGCATTCGCTTCTTCTCTTTCGATAGCCCACCCAAACCCCGACGTTTCTGTCCTGGCTTCCGTTGTTTCTTCGTGGCTTCCGCTTCTTGACGTTGCTTCTCCTGATGTGAAATGAAGGTTCATTACTTCGTCATGCCACATACAATGAGATAACATCTTAAAGACATTAGTCAGTCAGAATCGAGAAGCTGTACATTAGGATTAGCATCAAGTGTTTCCAACGATACGTATTTCCTCATTTAATCTGATAACATCAATTGGATACTTCCGAGGGTTTGATACAAACGTAATGTTATGTGAACTTTGTCATCCAGTTGCAAGTACCAAAGTGATGTAACTCATGTATGCAAAAGTGATGCCAGTTATTTCACTCTGAAACTCCCATATCAGACAAACCTGATCGTTGAGGCCTCGCTCCTTATCCTCAAGCATCACCTCATCTGAGTACTATGTTAATACTAATCTTGAAAGTGATACTCACAATAGCCAAACAAAGGGCGTGAGAACATGTGGCTACAAAATAGTGCGCCAAATCGTTGGTGTAAATCTCGCAGTTAATTTCATTTAGCACCTTTAGTCTACAGTCCCCTGCGTAAACAACGGATGCGAAAACAAATGCTCCAGTTGGTGTGCGAAGTTGAACAACTTTATCCGATTAAGTCTCTCGTTCTGGTCGGTGTTAAATTTGTTAGCGGTTATCTATACTTCGGGTAGCAACCCAATAGCAAACGGGTATGCGGGAATACTTGATAACTCAGAGGCCTCAATGGTGTGATCACCGCGGTAAAGCGATTCACTCCAAGTGGTTACGAGTTGTTTGCTTTCGAGCATCTGGAATATGAAAGTTGGGTGAATTATTCATGCGGAATGTGTGCATCTTCATCCCCTCGGTTATTGCCATTAAAGGGACATTGGGAAATTGAAGAATTTTGCCGAGATGGGTGGTTGTGTGAACGTATTCCTGACGGAAACTCCGGAGCCCATCCGTCGTCCTGTAATTCATGAAGCGCCACGCAGTGCTGAGCACAGTGAGCTTAGTGGCGGATAAACAACACAACTCCAATTGACGCGAGTGCGATTTCGTCCGAGCTGATTCTCGCTATGTGCCATGATCTGGTGCACTAACTTGGTCATTGAGTTGGGATGCCTATACGAGTTAAAAATAGAACCGGCATATGTTTGCCATCGCTGTTTGGTACTTCGATTGTAAATGCGCACGAACTGTCGGACACATTTGCACACATCATTCGTGGTGCCATTTGATTCCAAGCTGCGCTTTGTGCTATAGGCTCAGCTTGCTTTGATGGCACGGTATAGGTTTAAGGATCCAGCGCCATCCATTTTCAGAACTAGTGGAACTGTGCACTACGCGCCCGTTGCCCACGGTGATCCATTATTCGCTGAGTTCGTCGCGCCTGCTATTTTCACCTTACTACTCATTAGTAGTGCAGCACGCTGTCTTGTAGGAAGAACGACGCAAAAACGCACCGTAAATAGAAAAGTGTCCCTTAATGATGGCTATCACAAGACTCTCATTTATAGGAATATGCACATTTACTTTGCGGTCACCAAGGTACTCACAGTACGATACAAACCCGCATCCCTATCTTTACCATTCGAAGGAAACTACAGCTTCCAATGCATTAGCAAATGATTGAAAGTGGCCGTCATTAACACAGGATTACGCATAATTTGCACTTCCGCGCCAACGCTGTACCTCCAGCTGAAGGATACACTGCCTAGGGATGTCAACTGTGTGTACCAATTTACCTGTTCCTGTGAGACAAGTTAGATAGGTCGTCCCAGGAGACAGGAACGCGTCTACATCATCCAGCGCGGTTAATCCGAGAAGTAAACAGGACGTGCATCACCGCAATGGTCGCACACCTAGTTCAAACCAATTATTCCTTCGTTATGTCCAAAGCCTTTCAGCTGATCCACCGCGTGAGGGGTGAGCATTCCATTAGCAGATGATAAGTTCTTGATTAGGCGGAAGCGATCGCGATTCGTCAAAATAATCCTGGTAGTCTCTGTATAAACAGTTCGTCAAGATTTCGGACACTGTAGCCAGTTGTCCTCCGGGCAGCTGCCATACAAGCAACTCATACCCAGTGTAGTTTTTTGACATGCACATTTTTAATTACTCTCTTAACTATATAATTGCGTTATAGTTTGAATAACAATCACAGGAAACGAGTTTGTTTACTAGATTGTGTTTTCATGAGTATCTCACTTACTTGTTGCTTGCGTTGTCTCTCTTGTGCAACCTGATACACATTTTCAGTGTGTGTGTGTGTAGGAGGAAAAAGGAGAAAACAGAAAAGATGTTAGAAGGTAGAGCCCTAACTATGCACCTACACGCATGCACCGTGTGCACAGTGGGAATCACTAGCGGGACACCAAGGCAAAGCGTTAGCCGTGCATGAGGATGAGTGAACTTGCATGCGTGCTCGGTGAAGGGCAGCACCGATATGACGTGAATACTCGTGGACACCCGTTTCCACACCACGACTACGTAACTCGACCTGCAGACGCTCAGGAGACAAGGGATGTATGCTAGTGGGTGCACATGCAAGCTACTACATAAACAGATGCGCCATGACTGGAGGGATCAAGCCCATTTCGTGGGCAAATTCCAGTTCTTCTGACCAAACTGCCAGTTTAATTATTCGTGATCTATCCAATTGGCGTGGATGAACCTTCAAACGCATGCATCGTATGTGCGCCCTTCTTGTGCCTAGGTGGTAGTGTGATGTTTGGGAAGCAGCGTATGTGCGGGGCCTCTGAAATGCATTGCGCATGAGAAGGCGAACAGTGTAGTGTCTGACAGCGATCAAAACGACGTCTTCCCATGCAACTCATGCACCGACCTCTTCGCGCCTTGCCTCTTCTTCACGTCGCTTTCGTTCCTCCTGTGGATGTAACGAAAAGCATATGGCATAGTGCACGTCAAATAAACAAGTAAAACAGCCGACAGTTGATCGAGAATGAGAGATACAAACACTGGTAGAAAACATTTCCTGGAAAAACCTTTAGTTGTTAGAAAACGGTCAGAACAGACGATAGATACTAGGCTAACAAGCATGCAGCCGAATACAGGTGCAGTACAGTGGAAGTCGATCGATTTTCAAACTCCAGCCGAGCTTGCATGCAATTAAACAAATGGACCGGTTTATACGGAAACAATCTTCTTAGACAAGCTTGCGTATGAAATGAGGCAAGTAAGCAAAAACCTATGTTGAGATCTACACCAACTTAACTCTGAATATGTTCATATGAGTTGCCATTCCTTTTTACCAAATCGGTAAATAAGGTTGTTTTGACTCTCCTAACACATGAACATCTGAGTCGTGATAACAGTAAAGGTAAGTTAGTTAGAGAAGCTTTTTCAAGGTTAGTTCCAGCCTAATATCCTCGAGAAATTCGAAAAATTACCAGGTGGCCATTTTGTTCTAATGAGAAGGACGTGTGGGGATTGTGCTACGGAGAGCGTACTGCAAAGGATCATGTGTAAAATATCCTAAAAGTCCTCTACCGAAAGCTAATAATAGAAGTACACTCATGCACTTTCCAAATGCCATGTCTCACACAGCTATTTTTTGGGAGGCAGTAGTTCTTGGGGCAAACCCTTTTATCCACAAGTTCATGACTTTGTTAGTGGTCACCGTCAACCACTGTTGCTCATGTTCTAGTGGCATAAGTCGCTAGCGTCGATGAGTCATGTGTACGATTCCTGGTGGGACCGGGAGATTCCCAACACTGCTGAGTCCCAATGGAACGAAACGGCTGCCGTGTGGGATGTTTGGTACAGAAAAAACTGCAAATTATCAGCTATTAACTACAGCAACGATCCCCCGGTCATAAGCAAAACAGTTGCACAGAGAAGTCCCACCGGCAGATTGGTGCCTTGTTGATTTGAACAATAGAGCGAGGGGGCGGTATTTTTGCTAAACCACTGGTGCAATACTGATAATAATCAAGCATAATGACAATGAGGATGTTGCTTTCAATGTCAACCGTTGAGGCCGTCACACATTATGAAGGCAGTATTCATTGGCTCATGCACTATCGATTTCGAAACACTGCCAAGTAAGGCACAGAGAGAAACTCAACAGTACATATTCGGTGATCACAAATGTCACAAGGGATACGAAGTATTATAGCGGCGTCCAAGGCCTACTAAATGAGCTGGGACTGTGGTGAGCACATTCCGCATATTGCTAAACAGCATCGTACCCAGTAGCTGAGTAACGCCTCGAGTCGCACTACTCATGTACAAAAATATAGTAACATGCGATTAACATGCGCCAGTCTCTATATATAAGCGAACATTTATAGCACAGTGAAGCAGGTGGATACATATGGGTCGGTTTGCAGAACTGAAATCTGAAAGCATCATCAAGTGTGTACAGACTATCCGATCAAAGTATAACAAGTTTCATTCGTGTGCACTGTACACGTGGTGTATATGTATGCAGCCATATGTATGTATATAGGTATATACATATACACGTATAATACACGTAAAATGCATCCCACACCAAATAAGCATTCGATTAGTTCACGAGGTTGTGTACTCTCGTTACCTCCTGTCTTCGAATCTCCTCTTCCTCGTCCGACTGGTGTGTGTGTTCGCGTGTGCGTGAATGGGCGACAAAACACAACATTAGTCGAATGGAAAAACACCGCTGCTTTTAGGCCACAACTTCGCATGTGAGCCCATAGGAGAGAGAGGTGTGTGTTTCAGGTTCGATGGGAAAAAGCAACAGTAGATATTTTTAAAAATGTTGGTGTGATCACAGGACTAATCGGTTTGTGGTAGATATTGGTTTCTGCAAACTGGCTGATGTGGTTTGAAATCGGTGACAAAACAGTTGTCTAGTTAGGCCAACTGTACGTCTACAATGAATGGCTGCGACGAAGGTTGCTTCCCCCATCATGAAAGTGACATGGTCGATGAGCAATCTCTTTTTTGACTGCATTGCAACTGATCAACTAGATGCAGATGCAACGACTTCAAAACACTGAGTCAGGTGTATTTCGGTCAAGTATATTTTTCGATGACATAACGGACATTGGTCTCTTGTGCATAAGCGCTAGACTCTTGCTAGTTCTTTTTCGCTCCCAGCGGTAATCGTTTTCACATTTATCATGTCAATTTCGCAGTGTTGTTGCGGCTGTTCGTTCACTGTTGGACGGAGGTACAACCATATGATTTTTATTTGTCTAGTGTCACTATATAGCTTTACAATACTCATAAATTACAAGCCTTAAATACCATGGCATTTGGACTACACATAGAGCAAGAAGTGAATGTAGTTAGTTGTTAAATACAACATTACTAATGAATTAACATCATTGTGATTTTCTGTGAACCCCAGAATTCCGACTGAAACTCAAAGGAGTCATAGAAACCCATCTAATCTGCTAAACGTCTTCCGTAAGAAATCAGTAGTTACTTGTGTTAACCCATCAGCAACCGGTTCTGTTCAACTGGCATGTCATTGAAGCCGTTACAGCAACCATGAAAACAGTTGTTTCCTTAGATTTTGGTATCTTTGCCGAGCTGAGCAATAGGTTTCTG